TTTTTATTATAAATTGGGAAAGAAAGTTATTGCTTTTAAGGGAAGGGTTCCGAAAGTAAATTAAAATTGATATATATTAACTTTTATATTTTAATATACACAATAATTCGTGCTTGATATTGTATAAAATATTATTAAAAAAAGCATAATACTTTATAACATTGCTGAATATGAAAATGGCCGGAGCTATCTACAAATGAAATAATATATCACCACAAAATTTTTTCAAAATCCAAACATAACTTTTTATTATGGAAAGTTTAAAAATATTCTATAAAATATTGTTAAGTTTATAATGAAATTTTATTAGAATTTATTGGGTTATTAACTTTATTATATTTCATAAGAAATTAATATAAGAAAAATTAGTAAAAAAAAGTTGTTAAATAAACCTAATATAGGGATAGTTATCTAAAGAGACTTTTTGCTTTCAAAATAGGTAAAAAGAGAATTTTATGGGTTGAAAATTGTATTAAGAAAAATAAATATTAAAAATGTTATTTTTTCTTTTTATTGTAATACATATATTCTAAAAGTACAAGATAAAAATACATTAAATATATTTTTTTATTATAAATTTATATAAAAATAAAAATTAATTTTTAATTTATCAGTTATTCGATTAAATTTATTTATTGGACAATAATACTAAAATTAATAGTAATTTATATATATTAATAATAATAAATTGCTCCTAATTATACTTCCTCAAAAGTACAGGATAAAAATATTATTTTGTTACTTGGTTTGATGGGGTTTTCCTTTTTCTTGCTTTCCCTTTCTAATTTTATAAAAACCTTATGAAACAAAACGTAGCAATTAATTAAGGACAATATTTTGAGAGTAAAAGTGCAATTAATGCTAAGCAAATGCGATGATGAGGGTTTAACCCATCTTTTGACGGTGAAACTTGGATTTTCATGGTTGCTGGAGCTGAGTCTGCTTCGCATTGACTCGGCCACGTTTTGATGCAGTGGCTTTAACTTGAACCCAGCCATGCCCATCCAGGCTCGCCACTTCCTGAACACCTCGCTTCTTTCAACGTGGTCCCTACCCTCGCACGCAACCAAGTTGGCAATTCTACAACTCACTACCTCCTCTACTTTTTGCTCTCTTCGATTATTCTCTCGCCATGATCAAGCCGATTGACTTGAGCAGCGCTGTGTAGTACGCTGTTGCTTCGCCCACCCGTGCCACGAACGACGCAGTATTAGTGTTCATTTCTTGCTCTACCAACAAGACTACCCGCGGGGCTAGGCCTTTCACTCGCCGGAGAAGCTTGTCTCTGGGATTTTCAATTGACACACTCTCATCTAGCATTCAGTAGAACTTGAATGCGAAATTCAAAGCAAGTGTCTCATCCGGTTCGCAACCGAGTGACTCGCGAGATAAATCACTGAGTTTCTGACACACCACGACCTTAAACTTCAAGGAAACCCCAATTCTATCACCGAGCAGACTCAACTCCTCACCAACTTATCTCAACTGCTCATCGCCACCATTATCAGCGACGACGGTGAGTTTCACCATTACCGGCTTTCCGCTCTGGTGCTTGGAGAGTGCATAAAAAAAAAAATTTTGTACTGCAATCCTTTGCAGATTTCAAAATCGATTACATGGAATTTGTAAGAGTTCGAAGGAAGAAGAAAATTTGGGGTTTCTGATGCTTGCACGATATCGACCACTGACTTTAAAGGAGAGATCTGATGTGGCGTAGATGGGTCCCACTAAAGTCAGACTTAAAAAAAAAAAAGGGTCGAACGTGTGGTTGGTTAACGTTAAGTATTAAGTGAAGTGTCCATTACCCCAAAATTAGACGAAGCTTGGACGGAGGGACGACATTGATACCTTTTTCAATAGTAGGGGGAGGACATGAGGTGAATTGAAAGTAGAAGGTTTAAATTGAATTATTTTTGATAGTAAAGATGATAGCTGGCATTAATCCTTTTATTGTATTGTATTCTCAGTTACTTTGGATAAATAAAATTGACATTTTATCCAAATAAATAAATAAATGCATCTGTTGATGCTCACTGTTTCATGAAAAGAAATTCTAATTCCAGGCAAGGAATGCACATAAATAACAACTTGAAGATTAGATTATTGAATTACTTCTCCTATGGTACAATTCCAATCATCAGTTAATCGTGCACTGAATGCACTGCACTTATAAAGGAAGAAATACTTCAGAATACCATCAGCTGCACAAATGCCACTACCGCATCATTTCCATGCGGTTTGAGGGTGGGGATTGCTTCACAGACATTATTGGGGTCGATACCTCGGGCCAAGAGTCATCCATGTTTGCTTTTTATTGATGGTAACTTGAACTGGGCACGACTAAATGCTTTGCCACTACAGATAATGCAAATGTAATAATAGCAGATAGCAACATCCCACAGGGTGATATTCATTCTGTAAAGCAATAACTAAAGTAGAGAAATTTACATTGGCAGCGCAGATGAGATGAGTTTTGCAATGCATAATAAGTAATAACATCAACTACATGAAGCGCTTTGAAATGGTAAATATACAGTAAACGATTCAAACTGAATGAACATCAATAGAACAGAACCAAATAAAAAGAATAACCAATATAATCTCACAACACAATTCATGTGCTTAACAAAAACAGTAGTAATTCAGCAATAAGTTTAATAAATGCATGAAAATAAAGCATTGTCAATTTGTTAACCAATTTCTGATGGCTAAAATTAAACCCAAATGCAAAAGCACATCTCTTTGGGGAAATTCAACACAGGTTACCTGCGTCAGCAACGCTCCATAACCACACATTTGAAAAGAGAGGCAGACAAACCTGTAAGCATTCCCATTTTTCCGTGGCCAATCTGCAAGTCTTTTTGGACAGAAAAAAGACAAAGAAAGGATCAAAAAGGAGGAATCGACAGACAAAACCAATTGTTTCCGTTAGCCTACTTACAAGTTGCAAGTGCAGTGACACGTGAAGTTTGTCTGAGTGGGCTTTTCTCTTTTTTTGAGCCT